GAGCATTTTTTTGCAATAGTTTCATCCTGTTAGTTAAAAAAATAAGCAATTAAAAAAATTGATTGTTTGGTCAAAGTTTATGCATTGACAAATTTATTTTAGAAATTAATATGTAGGAGGACAATCATGATGCATTATAATTTGAATATTTGTTCTAGAAAAATATAATCATTGGAAATAGAATAAAAAAAATTAAAATTTAATTGCTATAAAAGTGAATTGTTACTTCTCTGAACAAGCTATAAGAATCAGTCTATCAAGGTTTCCTGGAACAATAGACAAATTTTTGCTGAGATTTTAAATTTCAGCTTCAGAATGTATGTCTATATAAAAGTTAACTAATTTATATATTCAAATATCAATTATTAATTAATTAATACTATTTACTGAAAACATTTTATTTTTCAGTAAAGCTGTACCTTATAATGCTCCTTCTGGAGGTTCTCAGAGTTTTGGACCAGGAGGATCAACTTACCAAGTACCAGCTACAAGTCAAGGATATCAACAGGGTCAACCTTTTCCGCCCGCTGGCTGTTCACCGTCTCCAACTCCAGGAGTTGCTCCGCCAACATCCGGAGGACCAAATCCATATTCTCGTGGTCCTCAGGTCGGTTATCCTCGTCCTGTTGCAAATTATCAACAAGGATACCAGTGACGTCTCTTGCCAAGATACTATATAAGTCAAGATTTGGGCTGTGTAACTTCTAATGATACAATCAAATGAGCATATGTACTCATTTTATTGTTAAGTTTAAATAAACAGTTTTGTATAGGATTTTGCATCTTGCAGTTTTCTGTTTGTTCTTTTCTGCATCAATTTTTATAGATATATTAAATATAAAAATTATTATTGGTATATTAAATATAAAAATCATTCCATGTTAAATTATATACTACGTCAGAAACATGTATACAACATTTGAATTTCATTTTTAAAACAAAAGTTTCTCATATTTTGGTGAATTTCCCGATTAATATTTATAGGCTTAGTTCAGACACTACTACATTTTTTGTGGCTATTGTCATATTTTTATACTGCAAATTTCTTCTGAACCTTGTTTGCATGATCAGATATTATTGCCACAGGGATGCAGAATATAAAACAAAATTTTGAATAGACATTTAATTCTGATATCATTGATAAAATAGTATAGTTGTCTTGTATTTCTAATTTCTTAATTGTTTCATCTTTAGAAATTGGATATTGACAAAACAACAAAGAAATTTAAGATTTTTGACTGAAATTTAAACTGCTTCAGTACATTCTTAATTTTTGCAGGAATACCAGAATAGGAGTTCTTAAAATTTTGTAAAGTTTAATTTATTAAAATTTAACTGCTTTATACGTTTAATTCTTTTCATTGCAAACAAAATGATAAATGAAAATAAAATTAATTATCTATAGTTCAGATTTTTCTTTATTCCAAAATAGTTACCTAAAAGCTTAAGTCCTTTTGTAACTCAATAATTAACAATGATTCAAATGAATTAATATCATTCATATTGACTTTATCATAAAATTAGAACAATTTTTTTATACAAAGTGAGATGAACTATTTAAGACTGATAAAATAAATATTAAAAATTTAGTGATAAGATCTTTTTTCAAGTTAACACTATCCAGTTTTTACATTTACTGCTGGGCTATTCAATAAAAATTTTATTTACTTAGAATCAGGGCTGTGGAGTCAGTTTGGAAAAAATGTGACAACTCTAACTAGCTGCTGAGCTAGATGAATCCAATTTGTTGATGAAATCAGTTATTTTGGTAAAGTTTTCATAATAGAAAGCACCTGCAGCTAACCAAGTTTTCTATCACATAATTATAGATTCAGGAAGAAGCTTTAAATTAATTATTTCTCTATACAGCTGAAGATGAGATGGACATTTTAAAGGGATTTTTTTTTCATCTCTAATATAAAGTCATTGGCTTTGCTGTATTCAACACAAATGCCCTACACAGAATTTGTGAATCTATGTATGATATACTCTCAATTTAAACATTTAATTTGCATCATACAAAGCTTGATCTGTTGCCACTTCCCATACAAGGTCATACTTTATTCCATCTGGCCACATCATTGAAACTCTGCATGATGGTCGAGGCATTAGTTTTTGGTAGTTTATACATTTTGATGAGCATTGGAGTAATTGGATCACCTGTGACTGGTGCATTTTAAAACAAATCATTTTAGATATCCATGGCTTTGTCTATAATGAAATAAACAATCAACAATATCATCAACAATACAAATGATTTTTTTCAAGAACATGCTTGTANATTAATAATGCTTATAAAATGTCATTGTTTTCTGTGTATTTTCTAAGATACATATTTAAATTCAGTGACCTTTCTAATATAAAAACAAATGTTTATAATTTTTGAAATGAAAATAAAAAATTGTCTGGTCACTTGTATTTATCACTAAACATAAATGACTTAACGCATGCTCATGCAAGAAGACAGCAATAATGCAATCTCTCTATCCAAAATGGCATGGATAAAGTCCGAATTTTAAGTCTTATTCTTGCTTCATCTATCCCGTTTTTGGAAAATGTCAGTTTTATCCACTTGTGACCTGATGAAAGTCATCATTCACAATAACGTAAATTACTTCAAATATTTCATATACTGTACTGTACCAGGGGTGGGCAAGCAAGAGTTCAGTGGGAGCCGAAATGTAGGTTTTGCAAAATGCATGGGAGCCACAGTTCTGTACTTTTTTATTTTGTACTGCGATTTTATTATACAGTAGAACCTCGATTATCCGGACCTCTATTATCTGGATTTTCGATTATCCGGATTGTTCAAAATAAACAAAAATTTTACGAATTTGCTGATTTGCACTTGGCGAATTACGATACTGTTTATGTACGTGATGGAATGCATAACTTTTTTTGTTTCAACAACGTCTCACCCAGCACAGTGGTCGTAAATTCTTATATTTTTATTATGACCCAAAATATATTTAACTTGACATACGTATTTATAAATAATTTATATTCAAATTACATCATTTCTATGACCAAGGGCGGCGTAAGGCANCAATTAATGAATTTTTCAAAAAAGCTTTATATTGAAAATATTAACTACACAATAAAAAAAAAAGTAACAATAGATTCAAAAGGCTTCACAAAGACTTGTAAATGAAATATTTTAACAGAACAAAATTTATTCTGTTAATTATTATTTCAGGAGCATTTTTTTGCAATAGTTTCATCCTGTTAGTTAAAAAAATAAGCAATTAAAAAAATTGATTGTTTGGTCAAAGTTTATGCATTGACAAATTTATTTTAGAAATTAATATGTAGGAGGACAATCATGATGCATTATAATTTGAATATTTGTTCTAGAAAAATATAATCATTGGAAATAGAATAAAAAAAATTAAAATTTAATTGCTATAAAAGTGAATTGTTACTTCTCTGAACAAGCTATAAGAATCAGTCTATCAAGGTTTCCTGGAACAATAGACAAATTTTTGCTGAGATTTTAAATTTCAGCTTCAGAATGTATGTCTATATAAAAGTTAACTAATTTATATATTCAAATATCAATTATTAATTAATTAATACTATTTACTGAAAACATTTTATTTTTCAGTAAAGCTGTACCTTATAATGCTCCTTCTGGAGGTTCTCAGAGTTTTGGACCAGGAGGATCAACTTACCAAGTACCAGCTACAAGTCAAGGATATCAACAGGGTCAACCTTTTCCGCCCGCTGGCTGTTCACCGTCTCCAACTCCAGGAGTTGCTCCGCCAACATCCGGAGGACCAAATCCATATTCTCGTGGTCCTCAGGTCGGTTATCCTCGTCCTGTTGCAAATTATCAACAAGGATACCAGTGACGTCTCTTGCCAAGATACTATATAAGTCAAGATTTGGGCTGTGTAACTTCTAATGATACAATCAAATGAGCATATGTACTCATTTTATTGTTAAGTTTAAATAAACAGTTTTGTATAGGATTTTGCATCTTGCAGTTTTCTGTTTGTTCTTTTCTGCATCAATTTTTATAGATATATTAAATATAAAAATTATTATTGGTATATTAAATATAAAAATCATTCCATGTTAAATTATATACTACATTGATATTGTGTAAAATGGTATTGCATGAGAAAGAATAAAGGTATATAAAGGTGCATATTTTGTATTGTATTGAAATATATTGTTAATTATGTATTCTAAATAAATTGTTTATAGGGTATTGGAAAAATTTATTAAAAAATCAAAATTTTTTTCATGGAAAGATTAGCAATAGTATTATTTTTCTTTTAATGGCAAATTAAAAGTAAAATCTTGAATTATGAATAAATATAACTGCGATAAAGAATTGAGAATGATTTTGCATAAATATATGCATATTAGGGTGATCCTTCTGTTCATAATGGAGGATTCAAAATGTGCCCGTCCGACTTTTTTTTTTTTT